TTGAATTACATGATCTCCATATCACATACTAATGCTACTGGCAAAATAATACAACATGCCCAGAGGATGCAAAGGCAAAAAAACTAAAACAAGGTTGTTCAGAGAGAGTGTGTGGTTTGCATGTTTAAAGCTCAATGTTTGGGGAAAAAAAAAAAAAAAAAAGAGAGGTTCAATGGTTCAGTTCTTCTTCTCCCCACAAATCTACACAGAATCTCTTAAAAAAATAAACTCAGTAACAAGCTCAGCATTTCTCTATATTTGTTTTTGATTTCTCTGGATATTTAGAATTCTGATTAGGGCATCAGTGAGACAAGAACAATGATAAATCCATCTTTTATTACTAAATTCTTTTAATTGCCTTATTGTCCATCTACAAAACCCACTATTTTTACATATTTCACTTATATTTATTTTCATTACTAGCTAGTGCAAATTAGGATTTGGTGCTCTTTTAATAAAGATGCTCATGGGCCTTGTAGGACTATTTATTTTCTCAATGCCTGAAGGGAGAAGCCTATAAAAAGCAAAAAATCTCAAAGCTGGTGCTGCACAAGCCATGTTAAATCCTGCTGCCTCTCTGGTTTCTGCATGCTGAACTATTCTGATTACCTTAGGCATAATAGGGCTCAGAATACTGAATGCAGGAGCTCCACAGCGAAGACTAGAACTGCAAGTTTAGCATTTTCCCCCTCTCTTCCTACTCAGACAGATGATATGTACCCTCAATATGTTCTATACTTACATAATTAGACATTTGTATTTAGTTAAACAAACTGTTGCCAGTGTGATGAATCCCAAACATTTGGAGGAATTTCACTTTGTAAAAACTGAACAAAGACTGGAAGGTCATTTGAAGCATCTTGTTTTAACACGAGACTACCAAAAAAATCCCCCCAAACTAAAAAAACATACCTCACTACAGGATGCCACAGCTCTGTGTAAAGGAGTCAACCATTTGCTGTCTTTGGCATTAACTCTAGCTCCTGCAACAAAAAATACAGAGAAATTGACAACACATTCGTAGAAAAAAAAATCTGAATATTCTCAAATACAAGAAGTATTGGAAAATAATTATTCTAGGTCTATTAATACAGCATTATGCCAAAAATGGAAATAAATTCTTTTCTCCAAATCCAAATCCATTCTCTAAAGAAAACTCATACCGCTGCAGCTGTAATACTCTTGCAAAGTGTATTCATCTTTTTACACTAGGTAACCTTCTGTATTTCCAAGTGCACATAAAAGAGCTGCTGGATAAGACGGAACGACTCCCAGCCTTCATTCAGCAACAGAACAAAATTCTCTGACCTTCCTACTATAGCTAGGGTTTTCCATTAAAGCGGGGACAGAGGCTGCGCTTATTCCCCAGGCCTTGAGCTTCCCTGGGCCGCGTCACGTCGCTGCCTGGACACAGACATGGGCTGGTGCTGCTGCTTCTCGGGGGGTCCTCGGGACAGAGTCCCCTGCTCCACGGTGCCGCTCAGGCTGCATCGGCACCTCCTGTCCCTCTCTGCCCCCTGCTCGACCGCAGCAGCCCTGTCTCCATGCTGCTGGAGGGACACCCCAGAACCAGCCCTCCTGCACGAGAAAGGAGGCTGAACAAACATTTGCACAAGCCTTTCTTTTTCCCTTCCCATTTTTTTTTCTTAAAAATAAAGGAGAATGCACAGATTTTTTTTTTCCCCAAAGGTATCAACTGAATTACCTCTCACCTCCCAGTGAACCTCAAATGTGAAAAAGCTTAATTCATTTTTAATATACTATATTTATGCATACACATAAAGAGAGAAAAAAAGAGAGTATTACAATTATATTAAAAAGTATAAAGTATATAAAAATAACCTGTTAGGTTTTTATACATCTTAATTTGCAAAATTAATTCTAATAAAACTAATGAAAACTGATTTTTTCTTCTACAAGACAGAGAACTTACAAGGATGTGGTTTCTTATTAAACAAAATGTTATGTTAGGTAATTCCCATTTGAGTATTTTTTGTAACTACTATTGGAGGTCTAATAAAAGATACATTATGGAGGTCTAATAAAAGATACCACCTCTCAATTAAAACCTTGTCCTGACTATATTCCAGGCACAGTAAACTCCCCCCTTTTGCTTATTAGTGAAAATTTCCATTTAACTGAAAACCAACATGTATTGGGAAGCTCCAAGAAAAAGTCCTGTGCAGCTAGAGAACACACATGCAAGTTGCAGTCTGCCACAGACAGAGCTCAAGAAGTTTCCAAACGTCATGAGAAATGTCTTGCACATTTTGGTGATCCTTCCCAACGGGCAACAACCTGAGTATAATCAGTAACTACGAATATATGCAGTACAGATGTACACATCTGTAATTATTTTTGTCTTCCATGTTGTTTTTTTTAACCACACCCCATTTTTAGCGAATAAAAGCAAAAGCCAAAATGATGGTCAACTGGGCTTTGCATCTACAGCCAAGAACCAAGAAAGGGGGACAGCCAGAGCCTAACCCATTTCTATTTCCAGCAAGAGAAAGGTGTTATTATCCAAAGCCTCCCTCACATCCCTTTTGTAGCCCTCCCTAAGTGGTATGCTGCATCTGCACACTAAAACAGCTAGTCCAGGAAATGAACAAAACAGTAGTCACACAGAAAAAAATGGAAAACTAAGAGAAAAACAAAGTAAGAAGTCCTAACCAAACTAAAAAGGAGTTTATAGCTCACTAGTCTTTAAAGCTAACTCCCAAATTGCAAATAACCTGATCTGACGGTATCACTGTCTTGACGTGCAGCTGCCTCTGGCTTATTTGCCATACATCATTTGGACTGCAAAAACACATAAAGCTTTAAATAAGACCAAGATCTTTATGGAAGGGAAATGCCTGTGCCAGGAACAACCAAACACCTACTGATACTTGCGTAATATCAGCTTTCTGAAAACCAAAAAATATTAGGTCAATTTGAAAAAAAAAAATCACAAATCTGATTTAGTTGACAGACTAGGTGAGATAATCCATGTAACTAGGATATTAGCAAGAAAATAAGTATTTTTAAACAAGAAACACAAACCAAGTTTGCTTTTTGCTCCAAAAGTATAGGACCAATTTTCTAGTATCATCAGAATTAACAGAGAAGACAACCGTGAACTCCAAGACTTCAGCCCTGGAATTCACAAAAAATAGAACAGAAGATATCAAAGTGAATAAAAGGAAGTGAAGTAAAAAGCTCACAAAGAAATAAGGAAAAATATATTATATTTGGAAAGTAAAAATATTTTAATGTGGAAAAAGGCAAGAAATGCAATAAAATATCAGCAAGATATATCTCACACTCTTTAGTCGACCTGAATACAGAAAGTGAAATCTGATTAAAAAAAAAAATAATACCAGGAGAGAAAAACAGAAATTATGACATCAGAATAAGTAGAAGAGAAGTAGGAGGCACCTGGCGAAGTTTACGGCTTCTCAGAAAGATTCCTAGGAGGCAATTCAATGCCTTCTGCATGCGGGCAAAAAAGGGCTAAAGGAAGAGCTAGATCCACCTCTGCTGTTAGTTTTAAGATACAAGTTTCTTTAGAGGATTTTAAAGGAAAGCCCTGTGCTGCACTCAACGTTACTCGGTCACCAGCCGTCGTCGTGGGTCTCCCTAAGAAAACAGCCGAGGTCGGGCGAGCTGCCGCGGGCGCCCGACACCGCTCGGCAGGGAAGGGCCCCTCTCCAGCGCAAGGACGGGGCAGCTACCGCAGAGCCCGCGGGAAGCGCTCGGAGATGGGGCCGGCTCTGCGGGTGCAGCCAAGCCATTCCCTGGCACGGCCGGCACTGCTGCGAAACAAAGCCTGAAATCGCAGAGGAGAGGGCGAGGGAGCACAAAAACATGCGGCACTAGAGGTTCTCCCGTGGTAACTTCATCCCACGCTAAGAGACTAAAGCAAAGTAGCTAAAAGGGGCAAAATGTTCTGATACTGAAAAAAAAAAGAACAAAAATTCAGCAAAACACCTGTCCTCCCCAAACAAACAAACCAGCCCCAGACTCCACCTCCAGAAGTCATCCTCCAACCCTACAAAGAAGTAAGAAATCCCAGGTGCAGGACAGCTCATACATATCAAACAAATATAATAGCTATACTCTATACACTTTCTTTTCAAATAAATAAAACATTTATAGCTTTTCTGAAAAAGAAAAAAGAGCAAAGCTGACGTTTAACAAAAGATGTAGATCTCAGGCCGACCTACATAACAAAGAATTATCAAGTTTGCTTTTTCACACAGATAGCAACAGCTATTAGATGAGTACCAAAGTTGTTAGATCAAAATGTAAAATTTTCAAGTGGTAATTGGAACAAACCAACTACGAAAAAATTACTTATGCACTATTAATGTAGGAAGGCCATGGGGATCAGAAGATCTGCAGCTCTGGATACGTTAATCAAAAAGAATATCTGAAACGAACATGAAAGATACTTTCACCCTTAAATTTCTCCAAAAGACACGCTGCCAAGAACGATTTACATTTCACACAACAGCTTCTCCAGTCTCCCATCCAAGGACCTTGCCCCCCATGGGCTCCTCTTCACTCCCCGGCACACGGATCTCAGGAAAATGGTCCCATTTCCCTCCCTTCAGAGGCTCCCCAGGAGACACGGGGCTCCTGCAAAGCCAGCTCCCTGACAGCCTCCCTGACCCGGCAATGCGCCTGGGTTTTACAGTCTCGACCATGTAAAGCTCTACCCAGATCTTTGCAAACAGAGCTTAGACAACACATCACACCTTTGCAGAGTATCTTTCACACTCTGCAGGTTGCTTAAAGCCAATTTCAGCGCGTGCACACACAGCCCACAGCAGCAATGCCAGGGACCCCGTGAAGAAGCTGCACCCGCTGTAGTAACCCCAGGGCTCCTTACAGGCTCCTCCCGGGCTGCGTAATTCAAAATGGGCCAAGAAATGCTGAAGTTCTTGGGAAACTTGGCCCTAAAGCTTCAGGAAAGCACGACGTTAATGACATGGAGTAGACAGGATCTTCCTTCAGCATTTAAACCTGTTCATGGCATTTTAACCTCTTCCAAGGATCTACCACTGTCCTTCACTAACTGTTGAAACAATCCTTCATCAGCTTAAACAGAGGTATTAAGCGTGAAATTTCTTATATTCTTCTAATTCTGCAGAGCTTGTGGAAGAATGTTTTGGAGGCTTTGCAACCAAGGCACCAGATACAACACTCGACACAAGTAACCATTGCCTCTGCTTAAACATAAACATGAATGACACTCCCCAAAAGAGCCCATAACCATCGCCTCTGCTTAAACATAAAAATTCATTACATGAATGACACTCCCCAAAAGAGCCCCTTATGAGCACTAAGCAGCTTAACTTTTCTATCTTGGTGTACTCTTTAACTGAAATATTAACCAAGGTCTTTCTTCATCACCAGCTTTCCTAGCATAGCCTAGTAAGTTGCCCATCTAGTCAAAGCTGACACCCAGAACGTTTTCCTCTTCAAACTGGGAAGCACTACAAATCCATTTTCCCTCCTCATTTCCTTCAATCCTCAATCACATTTTACAAAGTTGCATTTATAAAGTTGAGAGAAACGTTTTATTTAACAAATCTAGCACAGCAGCTACGGTGTATTTGCTTTTAGAAAATTTGTTTTCCAAGAAACACGTTTTCCAGATGGCTACATGCACTGATTTATAGTATGGACCTGGAAATCCCTGATTAGATCAGTCTCTACCTGGCAGTTGAACACTGAAACGCCAACAGCCCCCAACATCTGGAGGAACGTTTCTGCAATCCAGCTGCTATTTTCCCCTTCTCATTTTCCTTACGCTTGAACAAGAGCTAGTGCCTCCTCCCTTCTGCCCTTGGAGAGATGCAACGAGGGCCTGAGCAGGAAATGCTGCAAGAAACTGCCACGCAGCTCCTTCCTCAGCTGCCAACTGTCCCAAGCTGTAGGGAGCTGTAATTCACCACATCGTCTTTTTGCCATCACTCTGTCTTCCTGAGAGGGT